TACTCATAAAGAAAAAGGAAGTTCTGATGAATCTTGAAAACACCATGCTGAATGAAATGAGTCAATTGCGATAGGACATAGGCTATATGATCTCACTTATGTAACATAAACAATTATGTAAAAGCCAAAGAGTATTAGAAGGGATGAAAAGGAGGAGGAAAAGGGAAATATTTATTAAGGTTTATTGAGTTCATGTCAATGATAGAAAAATATTTCGAAAAGATAGCATAATAATGGTACATAAGAAATATAATCAATGTCATTGAGAGATAAATGAGTAAGATGTATTGATGAGAATGAAAAACACCCAGTGTAGTTGTCATATGAGGTTGAGTAGGTTCCAAATCAATAACCCTATGCACAACAGAATGAAACACTGCCTGCCTGGTTCTGTGCCATCCTAAGAATTTTTACATTTGAGTCCATGTTGCTGCCACTGTATCAATCCATCTTGTTTGGGATCTTCTGCTTTTTCAGTGACCTTCCACTTTTTCAAACATGATTATCTTTCTCTAGGGATTGGTCTCTCCTGATGTTATATCAGCAAATGAAGGTCCTGACAGCTTAACTCCATCCACATCATTAAAGTCAACTCTACTTTCAGCTGCATTTCCCCAAAATTTTCTGGATTGCAAGGTCTGTTTGAACTGCCAAGTTAGTAGTTCAAATCCACCAGCCAGTTCTTGGAAACCTTATACAGGGAATCAACTTGACAACACTTAACAATAACAACATTATCTTAATTAAAACATATGGCACTATGATTTGGAACAAAACTAAGAGATACTAGGAAGAAAGAGAGACAGACCACTTCTGAATGATTATTGTTGTTTTTATGTTCCATTGAGTCGGTTCCAACTAATAATGACCCTGTATACAGCTTCCAAGGAGCATCTGGTGGATTTGAACTGCCAACCTATGGTTATCATTCTAGTTCAATTACAAATGTTGGAGAACATTCCACTTTATTTGCTCACTTTCTTCTAAGTTTATTCCATTAGTGTTCTTGCAAAGCAGGAGTCACACAAAAATGGGCAAATGATGAAATTAATTAAATTATAAAAGCTGCAAAGCATGTTTTTAATGAAGTGAGCATTTCTTTTATAAAGTGAATGAAATCATTTGAAGTGGTTAAAAAATTTCTCTGTAGCATAGATGAAAAATATCAAGTGAAATATTTCTGAAAAGTTAGCTTGGTGTCTCAATGTACTTCAGATACCCAAAGTCCTTTCTGAGTCCTTATCAAGCAAAACTCCCATCTCAGTCCACAGTTCCCACATTCTAACTATTCACCCAGAGTAAGACAGGGTGTTGTGACCATACCTTTTTCTATGATGGTTTAAAGGTCCTGACATTTAAAAAAAACAACAATCAATACATAGATATTTACATTAATTTTAATTTATGTGTTTCCTTAAAAAACTTAATTTTGGTCTCCCCACATTTTTAGTATTGATGAATATAGTCATCCTTTGTTAAATAGGCTACTATTTATTTATTTATTTATTTTTACTGAAAAATATATAATATAATTACAAGTCACTTGGAAGAATTGATGTCATCCATATGTACTTATTTGGACTTTCCAAACTGGAGATTTCTGTTTTAAAAAAACACAAAAGATATAATAGATCTAGTGTTGGTATGTATATAGATATGTTATATAAAGTCATGTTATACAGTGTTAAATTACATTACTTTGTATTTTGATCCAGTTATACTACATTCTATTCTGTCATATTAAGGAGCTCTGGTGGCACTTTTTTTTTTTTTTTTTTTTCATTCTGTTGAATTAGAATGCATATATACATTCTAATTTTACAATTCAGGAAATTATTTTATTTGGAATGTGTCAGTGAATTTTAATTATTTACAATAACTTTTCCAAGGTCTAATTCTGAATTGTTAAATTTGTATTTATGTATATGTTTAAAAATAAGCCACTTTTCATTATCTTAAAAAAAAACAACAGACAACTTAGTTGAAAATTCAGCACTCTGTGAAGCTTTGAGGGATCCTGGATAATTCAGGTGTTTAACAAAATGGTGCGTTTATGCCAGGACTATGGTACCAGATTCTCACATTCCCAGTGAATTAGTGAGGGCAGAAGAGGTGATGTAACCTCAGACTGTGTTTGTAACACAAGAGAGCCTAGGTGACAATTTCAAATCTAGAGTTAACTTCTCAGGATAGGGAAATGTCATCACAGGTAGTTCTTAAGAAAGAAACAATTAGCTCTTTTAATCTGCATATACTAATTGAAATCCTATTGTAGTCACAATATTTATTTAGCAAAATGGACTCAGTAATATGTCTAAAAACTGTCAATAAGAGGCCACACTCTATAATAAAACTGTTGCCAACTCTTAGTCGATGATAACTCCATGAGTGAAAAATAAAATGCTGGAATAAGTGTCTCTAAATTATATCTCCGTATTTTAAATTTTTTCTGTTAAAAGCAATAATTCTATTAGCAAGTGAAGAAAAATATCAATTAAGGTAGTTAATTACCATTTTCATAAATGTTAATTTATATTTATTATATAACATAAGCAAAGTTAGTAGTCACAAATAGTGCATGCAACATGCTAGCATACAATGATGGTATATAATTATGTATGTTTCTAATAAACACAAATATCTATTACAGGTCAACAGCTTAATAATATTCATAGAGTAAATAAAAATATATAAGTGCAACTATCCATGAAATTTAAAAATAGAAGTTTTAGTTAAGACTAAATATTGTTAAAGAACATGAATGTTATTTATCTTAGTTAAATAACATGACTGTTCTATTATTTGCCTATAATATTTGAAAGTGATAAAGATTGACTGGATTTTCAAATGTTTGCAAAAAGCATGCAGATATTAATGTCCAGGTATTTTGACAAGCTATAAAACCCTGTATTATAAGAAATTAAGATTTCTATGGCACAGGATCAAAGAACATTTATTTCTGTTATACATAAGATTGCCCTGAATCAGAGCAGACTTGATGGGAATTAGCAACAACAGTGAATATGATAAGAAAAATTTTATTAAATTACACCAAAAAATAATTTGACTCAGAATTCTATTACTTATTGCAATTATGGGTAAATATATTTATCTGCAACACATTTAAAATTAATTAATTCAGTAGAATTAATTTATATTCCTAGTAATATTAAAGACACTTTATAATGAAAAATAAAAAATGATAGCATCACCGCTTTATTTAATTTTCACTACTTCAGATTGCCTCCAAGTTTCCACAGGAGTTTTCTAAGAGCTCCCTTGATTTCTTTATTCCTTAGGCTATAGATAATAGGGTTCATGGTGGGAGGCAACACTGAATACAACACAGAAACCAGTAAATCTAGTATAGAGGGAGACTCTGGCACTGGCTTCAAATAAGCAATGGCTCCTGTCAAGAGAAAGGTGGTCACAACTATGAGGTGGGGTAGACATGTAGAGAAGGCCTTTGACCGACCTTGTACAGATGGAATATTTAATACTGTATTGAAAATATAGATATATGAAAAAACAATGGCAAGTAAACAAAAGAAACCATAAAATATTCCAACTGCCACACTAACATTAATAGTTATATGTGATTTTGAACATGAAATCTTTAATAGTGAGGGGACATCACAGAAAAATTGAGGGAGGTTTCTGGAGCCACAGAAAGATAAGGAGAATGTGCCTGCTGAATATAAACTGCCAAAGAACCCTCCTAGGAACCAGGAGGCAGCTGTCATACATACATAGACTCCCCTGCTCATGATGACCTCATAGTGCAATGGGTGACAAATGGCCACATAGCGATCATAGGACATAGCTGTGAGGATAAACACCTCAGCCCCAGCAAAGTGAATTACCAACAATACCTGCAGCACACATCCTGGCAAAGAAATGGTGCTCTTGCTGGAAAGAGAGTTCAGAACAGATTTTGGGACAATGATGGAAATGAGACAAAGATCAAAGAAGGACAAGTTCTTCAGGAAGAAGTACATTGGGGTGTGAAGACACTGGTCCAGGGTGACAAGAGCAATAATGAGAAGGTTACCCATTAGAGTTGCCAAGTAAATCAGCAAAAACAGAGAGGCATGCAAGACCTGGAGCTCCCTGGTGTGGGAGAATTCCATGAGAAAGAATTCCATCACCACCAATGTACGGTTGTTCATGTCCTTGACTCTATTGGACATCCTATGGAATGAAGGAAGATAGAGACATTAAAAATTTCCTTGAAGCGTTTTTTGTTTTTGTTTTTATGGTTTTAATTTTTTTGAAACCTTTCCTACACTACAGTTTTCTGAAAATCCACAATTTTTGTCAGTTTGCAAAGAAAATAATTTGGCTTTAAGTGAAAACATATACTGCATGTATCTTTCTTTCAAAAATGAAAATGAGTGGTGATATTTCTATTTTATAGATATGATATACACATTGATAAATCCTAATTTATAAAAAAATATTTCTAATGCAGTTGATTCATAGCTGTTAAGTGTCATTGAGTCCATTTCACCCAGAGCAACTTTGTATTGGGTTCCTGAAGAGTGACTGCTGAGGTTCAAACCAAACTTATGGCATACTGCTTATCATCGTATCAATACAAAATCACAATTCACATTTCATTTTGTTTAAGTTAATTACATTAAAATTAACTATTGTGTATGAAGTCCTGGTGTGGCACAGTGGGTTAATGCGTTTGACTGCAGTCATTTGAACTGCAAGATAGGTGGTTCAAACTCACCAAGCTGCTCCTTGAAACCCTATACAGGGTCGCTAGGAGCCAGAATTGACTCAACAGCACTTAACAACAACAACAATCATATAATAAGGACTCTTGGTGTTGTGTTATCGAATTAGCACTGAACTTTGAACCGCAAGGTTAGCAGTTCAAACCCACAAGCAGCTTCTTGGAAACCCGGTACAGGGTCACTATGAGTCCAAACTGACTCCAGGGCATTTAACAACAACAACAGCAACATTGTGTAACACAGAACATTTATTTTGTAGGAAGCTGTTTTACATGCAAATATGTAGGGTTTATCTTTAAGCAACACATAAAAATGAGAATATAGTATCAGCAAAAGGAGTTTTATTATTTTCTAGTGTGAATTTTAATTCAATAAATGCAATGAGAAAAAAATGCTTTATAAATTGGGAACATAATTCTCAATTTAATCTTGTATTACGTACTATAAGAGAAAAAATATGTAGATTCAAAGAGAGGAAAAGACAGTAGAAGGAATATAAGACATATAATTACAGTGGTAAATTCAAAATATAGAAACATAAGTATCAATGGTAGGTAAAAGACTTAATTTTTTATACAGTCAGTCATATTTATGCTTACACAAAGTCAACCACCATAGTCAGTCCACTCACCTTATACCACATATGTATAAAATCAGACACAGATTCTCTTGGACTCAAGAATCGTGGTAGTGTTGTTGTTATGCATTTGGCTGCTAACCACAGGCCAACAGCTCAAATCTACTATCCACTCCATGGAAGAAATACAAAACTTGCTGCTTCTGTAAAGTTTTGCTGCCTCGGAAACCCTATACAAGGTCATTATGAGTCAGAAACTACTCACCAGCACACCAACACTATCACCACCAGAAAGAGAAAAGGGCTGTAACTCTATTGTTACTGATTTCCCTGACTTTTATTTATAAATCAAAAATGAAGTAGAATATGAAGTGGGACAGTGGCTGTAACAATAAGCTCTAAAAACATCAATTGTAAGGATGTCATAAGACCAGGTAGTATTCATTCTGTTTTACATAAGGTTGGTATACGTTCGCACCAACTCAATAGCACCTAACTAATGGGGTTCTTATTTCTTTCGAACCTGTCATTCCTCACTTTTCATTGATATAAATCCTCCAGCCCCTTTATTTCTTACAAAGTTGGCAGATAATCACAACTGTGGAAGGTAGAATAAAACTTCAAAAATTGTAAATTTGAGGATACCAAATCCTAGTTAGGACTGTAATAAACTTTTTATTGGTTGATTGGTGTCTCATATATCAATTTAGGTAGAAAATAGCCGATGGATTCATATAGCAGGATTAAGTCTAAAACCAAAGTATTGAAAAAAATAATTATGCATCCAACTGATTCTGATACCCTCTTGAAAATATTCTGGGTATAGGTATTGAATGGAAACAACAGGTGAACAGCTATTTTAGGAGAACCATGTGCAGTGTTCTAAAATAGACTAGGTTGTTGTTGTTGTTTTTAATTTCTCATCAAATAGATACCTTCAATAGCATTCATTGTGCCTTTAACACAGAATGATCTCTAGCAAAAGCCTAAATTCTGCATATTGAAATAATAGCATATTCAAATACAGAGATCAGTAGCTTTCAGATATGGATAAATTTGTCAAGCAGTTGTTTAGTTAGAGAAGAAAACAAACAAAAAGCAAAACACTCAAGAGTGATTTGTATCAGCACCAAAGTAGGCTTCTAGCATCTGACTGCCCTTCTTCTTTATAGATTACTCAGGCTTGGTTTGCACATATTTTCTCCCTCCTTGAAATATTATCCTGGGGTTGATTTTGAACAACTTAACAGCTTTCCTTCTAGGGTGATGTACTTAAATTTTAAAGTTGACTATGATTGACTTTTGCTGTGGCACCTGTAGGCTCAACACTGGACTTCAAACTGTAAGAGTTAGTTTTGATAAAATAAATTTGCCAACAGCAATTTTTCTTTCTCTCTCAACTGGTGACATCACAAATCCCCCTCTTCCTTCATTTCAAATGATGAAGTTGAATCAGATGATTATAAAATTTCATGATGTTAATGTCTTAAATGGAGTCCTGGTGTGGCACTGTGGGTTAATGTGCTGGACTGTAAAGTTGGTTTGAACCACAAGATTGGCAGTTCAAGCTCTCTAGCCTCTCATTGGAAACTTTATACAGGGTCACTATGGATTGGAATCGACTCAGTGGCACTTAACAATGTCTTAAATACTTAGACAAAATATATTTGCTCTTCTTAATTCTAATTTAAATTTGACATTTAATCAGATTTTTACTTAGGTTTTATACACAAGTTTTTAGTATATATGTGTATATACATATATACACATACTTTGTTGTTGTTAATTGCCACCCTGTTGTTTCTGACTCATAGCAACCTTGTATAGAGTTTCCTAGGAGTGGCAGGTGAATTTGAATTGCTGGCCTTGCAGTTCAAACCGACTTTGCAGTCCATCACATTAGCCCACAGCACCAGTCCAAGATTCCATTCATATACACATATACATACAGGATGGGAAGAGATACATATGTAATTTAGCCTCTGTATGACTTAAATTTCAGAAAGACACATATACAAAATTTGAGGCATTAAAAGACGTTAAAGCCCTCAGTTCATTTTTTGGGGATACTTTCTACTCTCGAGTAGATTTCCTTGTTATCATGTTGATAAGAACACTGGCAAGATTCCAATGATTTTTTACCTTCCCACTGATGAACCCCAAAGATTTAGACTCACCTAGTCAGATAAGAAAATTTGCAGTTTGTTACATGCTAATATTTCTTATTTTTTTCTCTTTCGGAGCTGATATCTGAAGGGTTTCTGATTTCCAGAGGATGAAAAGAGTGTTTGTGAAGAACAACAAATGTGATAGCTCTGCTGAACTTCTGAACTTGCTGAAATCATTTCCAAAGGGGTACAGCTTTCATTTAAGGAAAAGCACAGAGTGGGAAGTGAGGTTCTCCTGGGGGGTATTAAAAGCAATGTGATTGTCAAATTTGAATTTCTAAAGCACTATTAACTCTTGCCTCACTTTACACCATTATGTTACTGTTCTCATAGTAAGATAATGGGGAAGCCCCACTGGGCCTCATCAAATAATAAAAATACTTCTGTCCATTGTATTTTAAGAGAAAATTAATAGCATACATAATTTCAACTTCTCTTAGAAGCTGATTTTGGCTTATTGCCTCTTTCTTTATTGCCTCCTTTCTGTTCAGCTGGTTTAGTGTTGAACTGTTGATCTGGCTAATAGCAGTTCAGTACATATCAGTCAGTGCCATGCCAGGATTCCATTTATTGACCTGTTGTTTTGTGGTTTTAAGTCATTTGGATTCAGTTATCCTGTATAGATTTCTGAGGCTGTAAATTTCTATGGAAGCAGGAAACCTCTTCTTTCTCCAGAGGACAACTGATGGATTCAAACCATCAATCCTGTGGTTAACAGCCCAGCATGCAATCCACTATGCCATCAGGGTTCCATTTATTGGCCTTGTTAGGTGCCATTGAGTCAGTACCAACTCATATGGACAGCAGAACGAAACACTGCCTGATCCTGCAGCAACCTCACTACTGTTGCCATGCTTGGGTCTATCAATGCTGCCTCTTGGCCAAACCGTCTTGTTGGAAGACCTTCTTCTTTTTCTCTGATCTTACCAAACATAGGAGAAAGAGATATTCTTCTCCAGCCACTGGTCCCTCCTGACAATATGTTCAAAATATAAGAGACGAAGTTTGGCCATCTTGGTCTCCAAGAAGCTCTCTGGTTGCACTTCTTCCAACACAAATATATTGGTTATTTTGGCAGCCCATGGCACTTTCAATTTTTCTCCTCCAACACCATAGCTCAAATGCATCAATTCTTCTATGGTCATCCTTATTCACTGTCAGCTTTTACATGCATATGAGGTTATTGAAAATACCATGGCTTGGGTCAGGCACACCTTAGTCCTCAAGCTGACATCTTTGCTCTTCAACACTTTAAAAAGGTCTTGTGCAGCAGATTTGCCTAATGCAATATGTCATTTGATTTCTTGACTGCTTCTTCCATGAGTGTTGATAGTTGATCCAAGAAGAATGAAGTCCTTGACAACTTCAATCTTTTCTCCATTGATAAGAATGTTGTTTATTGGTCCAGTGGTGAGTATTTTTGTTTTCCTGACATTGAGATGCAATCCATACCAAAGGCTGTGTTCTTTGATCTTCATCAGTAAATGTTTTTAGTCCTCTTCACTTTCAGCAAGCAAGGTTATATCATCTGCATATTGTAGGTTGTTAATTAGTCTTCCTCCAATCCTGAGGCCACGTTTTTCTTCACAGAGCCCAGTTTATTGTATTATTTGCTCAGCATACAGGTTGAATAAGTACAGTGAAAGAATTCAACCTTGTCGCACACCTTTCCCATGTTC